GTCACGGGGAAAAGGGGGTGGGAGCAGGTTGTAAGTTGCTCTGGTAAGTCCACTATCATGCTTTATGACCACATTTCTGCTCCCAATTTCCATCATAACCCAAGGACTACCCGTAAAGGGATTTAACTGAGTAGTGATGATTGCACTTAAAAAAAACAAAGCAAAATGCTGTTTCGCTGTATCAACTGGGCATAGTTCAATTTGTTAAAAATTTAAAAGGCCATTATTTGTATATATCCAATAAAACTATTACCATGTTTCTCAGAAAACAAGACCAAGTCTTATGATTATTTTCTTTTAGACTTGACGCGCTGTGGAAGCAGTTTCCTGCATTCCAAACCTTCAGTGTTTGGAATGGGGGCTTTCTGGCAACTGGGAGGAAAATGGGCAGGGGGATTTTCTGCTGCCGGCTTTGGAGAAGTGGCCCAACAAGCAGAGGCGCTGTGCCCAGAAAGAGAAGGGCAAAAGCGGTATTTGTACTGCCCCAAGGAGCCTGTGGATTTTAAAATTGTTTGTATTGTCTTATTTATTCCCTCCCCTGTTTATTGTGAGCCGCCCGGAGTCCTTCGGGAGTGGGCAGCATACAAAACCAATAAACCTAACCTAAACCTAACCAGTGGGCTGCAGCTGGACAGTCCCCCCCCCCGCCACTCAGGCTGGCCACGTCCACCTCCCTGGACTTATTTTTGGGGTAGGGATATTAGGCCCACCACCTGAAAATTAGGGTTGTGCTTATTATTGGGGTGGATCGTGTTTTCAGAGAAAAAGAGTATGTATGCATTATTTTAGCATGTTCTATAACAGAACCACACTGCATCCTGTTGTGGCCCAGCAGGAGCTGCCACCAGACTCCGACAGCGAGGGGCCTTTTGAGTCGGCTCTGGAAGATGTGGAGGTCCCTGGACATGGTTCCGACTCCGAGCAGGGCGCAGAGCGGCTGGTTGGCCACCAGGAGGCACGGAGCAGCGGTGAAAGCCAAAGGGAGTGTGCTCCTGACGTCAGGCCTTGGAGCAGTGGTGAGGAGACAAGGGAGGTGGTCCTGGATGCCCGGCAACAGCGGGCAGATCGACGTAGAGAACAGCTATGCAAATACAAAAGATAATTGGACCCACGTGGTTGTAATTAGGCTCCTCTCAAAATAGTATTTAAGGAGGGTCTCTGGGAGGAGTCTGGTTGCAGGATTCAACTTATTTCTTAACCCTGGAGAAGCTGTCATCTGTATCTGTCGGAGTCTGGGTTGCTGCCAAGGTTCTTATCTGTTTGTCGTGTTTAGGCTTTCAGCCACCGAGATTTATGTTTCAGCTAATAAAGTGCTGTGGCATTCCAGCTAAGCTTGTCTCGGCATTCATTACTGGACGGAGGAGGGGGTCAGAACAGCATCCTATCTGCTAAATATTGCTGCAAGGAAGGATCTTTGAAAACTCTCTTCATAAAATTAAATTGATAGTAATGGTATCAATTTAGCAATCCAATTCATCCCAGCAGGGAGACACATTGTTACTTATTTCAAGCAATCATACTACTTTTTTGATAAGCAATTTCAGAACAGTTTATAGTAGTACTGAAGCAAAACTATGACCATTTAACAGGGCAATGTGAAAACTAAGATCAGCTTTAAAAACAAAACATTGAAGGAAAATATACAGTTTCTTAATCTTAATTATTAGGAAAAAATTCAAAAATTAATGTCCCTGAAAGTCCAAACGTTGAGCCAAACCCTCCAAGGAAACTCCATGTTCTTAATTTTCTGGCTCTTCTTTAATTTTCTTCTTTTTCTTTTTCTTCTTTTCCGTATTCTGAAACATAAGCATTGTTTCATCATTTCACTATGATAAATGAAAATATAATATCTATATTATAGATAGTATTTTTAAAAAGTTTTTTTTCCCCCTGCAAGAAAGAAATGCGTAGCACTTCATGGTCTGGTTTTGCTTCCACAAGATAATATCTTTAGGTAGAGAAGCTTACCTAACTGTAGGAACGCATGATTAGCACTGATGTAACATTAATGAGTCAATGGAACTGCAAAGTAGAATATGAAAGCTTTTTTTATCTCCAAGCATCTTAGTGGAACAGTTCCACTTCTGCAATTTAGACAGAGGCTATCAGACTCACTTAAGACTAGGTTACTTTGGGATTTTAAATGGAGAATATACTTCAGAGCGTCTTGTACTCCGAAAAATACGGTAATCAATAAATAACATTTAAAATCTTGTTTTTAACTGGAGAGAAGGCTATCAATAGAACACCAACATGGAGGCTCTACCTACCGCCCGCAGAGATCCGGACCCTTCCCACCAGTGGTGGGTTTCAAAAGTTGTTCGAACCTACTCTGTGGGTGTGGCCTCCTTTGTGGGAGTGGCTTGCCACTCATGTGACCGGATGGGAGTGGCTTGCCACCCATGTGAACTGATATGAAGATGCCGACGACACTTGTCAGAACCACCTTAAGTTACCTCACACACAGCACTGGCATGCATAAGAATAGGATGTCAACTTGTTTTTTAAAAGGCATCTTTGCTTTGCGTTAAAACAACTTCAACACACGCAATGTTCTGATTGCACCACAAACGCAGTAGTCATCCTTACCTTTCACACAGGCACTGAGTTTTATAAATATGAGCATGATAGTGTAGAATAATCATATCCAAGGACCAGTGGTGGGTTTCAAAAATTTTTGGAACCTCTTCTGTAGGTGTGGCCTGCTTTCCGGGTCCACTGGTGGAACCTCTTCTAACCGGTTCGGTAGATTTGATGAACCGGTTCTACTGAATAGGTGCGAACTGGTAGGAACCCACCTCTGCTTCCCACTCTCGCGGCCTTCCAAAAAGCCACCAAAACCTGGCTGTTCCGGCAGGCCTGGGGCTGTTGATCTATAAATCAGGTCCAACCCCCAGCTAAGCCGAATGTGTGTTGTGTTTTTTTAAACTGTTTTTGTTTCTCTCCCCTATTTGTTATTTTTATTTTATCTCGTATTTGTAAGCCGCCCGGAGTCCTCAGGGATTGGGCGGCATATAAACTCATTAAATTACGAATTAATTACTATTGGTGTAAAAACTTTTTTTGCGATCACATTCTGCAGCAACTGTATTATAACCTTGGAAGATTTTAAACAAGGAAGCTAGAAAACAAATCTGGCTACCTGGTGCCTTCGTACCCTACTCTGTTGTGGCTGCGGTTCTTGGTTGGCTTCCTGAACAAGACCATGGAAATTCTCATGGTCTCCCCACTTTTAGCCCGAGGCCTTTAACTACTGCATTAACTACATATATATGCCTTTTCCCCTTCTATCTGATAGTCCAGATTCTTTTAGGCTAGATATCCTTGGGATGAGGTTGCTAAACTGCTCACCTGTGAATCAAACCTGTTTCCAATAAGTCTTACGTTTAGCTAAACAATTGGTGTTTTTTTTTTAAAAAAACTCAGGCCAGGTGCATGCATAAGTAGTAGTAAAGATGGCTTTGTTAAGGCAGTCAAGATTTGCGTGACCCGTCAAAACCGCGTTCCACAAAAGCGCGGTCGACGTAATCGCGTATGTGATGTCATCACAACGCGACGAAAAAGATCGAAAAATTGAAATAAAAATTAAATTACAGCAAGCCGATTCACATAAAGGTAAGGGTTAGGGTTAGGTTAAGGGTTAGGGTTAGGTTTAGAGCGTTAGCGTTACGTTTAGCGTTAGGTTAAGGGTTAGCGTTAGGTTTTTCGTTACGTTAAGGGTTAGGTTTAGGGTTAGGTTTGGGGGGGTTAGGGTAAGGTTTTCGCTTTATTTTTACATTTTTCGATCTTTTTCGTCGCGCTGTGATGACGTCACATACGCGCTTTCGTCGACCGCGATTTTGTGGTGGAACCAAGATTTGTTGCACCGGAAAATATACAGCCCTGGTCAGCATCACTCATATTCAAGGTGCACAGCAGACACAATTCTGGAGGGCAGCAAGGAGGGGAAGGCTGTTTTCAGTGTCCTACCTCCACCACCATACTGGTAGATGGCTCCTCTGCGCTGTCTTCTACGCAAAAAGACATTTCTTGAGTTTTCTGTTTTTTCTTTTTCTTTTTCTTCTCTTTCACAGGTTCCTCCTCTTGTTCAACTTGTTCATCCTCTTCCTGTTCCTCTTCTGGTGTTCATGCAAGAAAATTCAAATTACAAAAACAAGTTAAACGAAGCAGAAATGCTAAGAGTTAGCCAAAGTTGTTAGTGGGCATTTTTGAAAACTGGGAGCATGCTGCTGGCCATGATCCATTCCTGACGCATCAAGGAATAGTTATGGATTATCACAAAGCCAGATATTGGCAAAACAAGCTGATAAGAGATATTTTCAGCAACTTCATCTAGTACAGTGTTTCTCAACCTTGGGAACTTGAAGATGTCCGGATTTCAACTCCCAGAATTCCCCAGCCAGCGAATGCTGGCTGGGGAATTCTGGGAGTTGAAGTCCGGACATCTTCAAGTTGCCAAGGTTGAGAAACACTGATCTAATATTTTAGACATACTCTGCTTTATCCCTCTGCAAGTGTTTTCTGCCTGCCTACGTAGGCGAACAATTTCCAAATTGAATACATTTAGCAGCCACCTTTGCTTCTCTGTACGGATGTCTTTGGGGAGGAAGAGATGTGGTGAGAAGGCATTCCATTGAAGGTTCCAGACCTAAAGCGTTTACATTCATGGAACTCAACTGGAAAAAGTTATTGAGGAATGTTTCAAACTGCCCATAATGTAAATTGTACTATACCCGAAAGATAAGATTGTTTGGTGTTGTTGTGAACCATCATACAGTGTTATAGTTATTCTTAAGAATGTGTTTCCCCTTTGAACGATTCAAAAGAAAGAGTATATTTAATACCCATTAAACTAAACATCTTGTCAAATAACTGACAAAATCTAAAACAGAAAGTCTTAAAGAGCATTTCTTGTTGAAGACATCTTTGGAAGTCCTTCCAAGATTGAGAATCTTTTCTACTGTGGAGGTGTGAGTAAGAGAGATGGGGATCACTTCTCAAATTTTTCACCAAGAAGCTTTAATCTAGAGGTGTGACTTAATTCACCAAAAGCAAAACTAAGTTCTTCAGCTTCAAAATTGCTGTAAAGCAGGAACAATAAGGCTGTGAAAAGCACCCATGAGCCTCTCCTTCTCAATCTTGGCTTAAACCTATCTATCTCAAAGTGTTAGTCTATGAAATACTGCTTAAGGGCTCTGTACTCCTGCTTACCTAGGTGTCCTGATACACACCAAGGTTATCATATGCAACTTTCAAACATACCTGTGCAATAATCATACAAGCCTCATTTCCATTCATAATGGAGGGTAATAGAGACATTTTATAGAAATATAGATGCTATGGAGTAGGACACACATCAGCAAAATATGTTTTACTCCAGATGTTGGAATGCAACTCTCATCATGCTGCTTAAGACTGCTGGGAGTTAACATCCAACATCTGGACTTACAACACTCAATTCATTTGTAAGGTAGTATAAGCCACATATTTTCTACCATCTTATATAACTTGGATACCATCAATGTATCTTTACACTATAATCAATTCACAGTTCCTAAGTTAACTAAAAATCTACTGATGAAATGAATATAATTCCCAGGTTGCCAACTAAAGCTTAGTTCATTAAAGGCTTTGCCAGAAAGAAAATACAAAAAAGCAGCTGTTTTTTTCTTCTGGAGATGTTCAGTTAGGTACCCAAGATTCAGGGCACAAGACCCAGAAGACTACCCTAAGATTAATTAGGCATGCAAAAGACTAAAATGCTGGAGAATGCTGGGTGCTGGTTTGCACACATGTGTTATGGCTACCTTGAGGAAGATTTCCTTATTCACAGTGCATTATGATATGGGACGTGGCCAAGTCACGAAACAGCAATTTACTAGAAGGCAAACTCATCCAGTTGTGTCCCATCCCATTCTCCATTCACTCCCTAGCAACTGACCTTGGTGTTTTTCCCCCCCTCTGGGTTGATAAGGAGAATTCAATGTAATATTCTGGAATGCAGCCACCCACCATTTTTATGTTCTAATAATGTCTATGGAGCTGTACCTTTGCAGGGTGCCAGCTTTCCATTTATTTATTTATTTATAATTTAAAGAATCTAAGAAAAAGTCAGGTGGAGCAGGTAGCCTTGTATGAAAAGCAACGAATGTAGGTAACAAACAACTTTCCTTTAAAATATATATATTTAACACCTTAAAAATGCATTGATGCCAGGACCTGGTATCATGGAATTAAATTTATTTAGTTGACTACCCCAGTGGGATAAAGTACATTAGGATTTGAAGTAGGCCTAGAAACAGAAACCCCCAAAATTGCTAAAGGGAAAGAGAGACTATGGGAAACAAGGAGTTGGGGGAAATAACCAAGATTGTCCCTTCTCTCTGGACTTCCAATTAGCAAATCCCCCCCCCCAAACAAATTGAGGGAGGAAAAAAAAAAAAAGGCCTACTCTTATTGACAAATGCAATTCAGCAAATCAGCATTCAACCGCACAAAACCCTTTTACAGATCCACCAATAAACATCATTAAACCAACCTTTGATTTCCATTTTAGCCTTCTTTGCCTTTTGTGGAACTGCCTGTTCTTCGTTCTCTTCCCGTTCCTTGCGCTTCCTTGGGACCAGAGGGAGCGTAGATTCCCCAGAAGGATCGTAGACCTTCACTTCACTGGAATATTTAAAGGAGTAGAAGAGAATGGTAAATGAGTGGAAACCCCATCAATGCCAATTGCTGGG